GAATCCCCGTCGGATCGGTTTCAAATTTCCATTCCTAATAATAAAGTGTGGAACGGTAACAATGCAATGTAAATTGGTGACAATATAGATGATTGGTGAACGGTGGTCGTGAATTGACAATTGCGGAGTATAAATCGACAACATTAAAGGTAGTTGGTGAACAATGGTGGTATAAGGCTTTTGAAGAAATGTTGGAGAGAAAAGAGAATGAACTAATTATATAATTAAGGTAAAATATTTTGAGGGTTATTGCTGCATTCAAAAAATATATTAGACTATAAGTATTTCAGTCCATCAAATAGGACTAGCTAGCAATTTTCACAAAAAAAAAGAAAGTAAATGAGTTCATAATGTTTAGTTTATAGTACTTTTACATAAAATTTTTTTTTTTTAAAAAAAATCAAACATTTAAATAACATTAACATATAAATTTTAGCCTACTTTAAAAAGTGCTAAATAAGTTTATTTTTTTACTTATTACGAAAAGATGTCAACAAATAGAGAGATGATGTGATCTAAATAAACTAAAAATCAATAAGCTAACTTATAAGCCATTTGCCAAAAGAAGCCACATAATAAAATTTTCATTTCTTTTATTTATGTCATCCAAGTATACTTCGTATATAGCTTTATGTATTATATATTTTATAAATATATTGTAACATCTAAAATGTTTTAAATGTGAACATTCACATTTCTCCGAATAAAAAATTACTGTCAAATAGTAGAATAGTTTCATGATTAATTAAAATACTACTTCCACATAATATTTTACAAGTTCATTAGACTAATAAATAATTGTTGAAAAATCATAAACAAGGAAGAAAAAAAATAGTAAAAACAGGTTTGTAGTGAGTTTCTTAAAAAACAAATTATATGTTTTAGAGTTTCCAAAATATATTTGCAATATTTGTTAAGAGTTTCACTTAAAAAATTTATTTCTATTCTGGAGACGAATTTATAGAAAAGTGAATTTTTCCTCCCAAACAAAATTTTTCCGACTTACTATGCTAGAGAGAAGAATATAAGATATTTTTCAAAATATCAAAATACCTAAATCAGTGTGAAGAGTTCAAATTGAAAATAAAAATAATTATTCAATACGTCTCACCTATAAAACACATGATTTGTTATTCTAATAGTAAAATAATTTATAATCACTTTATTTTTAAAATAAAATGATCATGTATTTGCTATTAAAAATAAATATTTAATGTAACGACAATAATTTGTAGTGGTATTATCATTTTAGAGGAATGCCTCGTATCTCGACATTTTAAGGCTCGAATGGCCCGACTCTTTCTCTCTCTCCATCTTTTTCTTTTTTCTCTATCTGTTCTCTGCTTTGGTCTTCTTCTTTCTGAGCAGTGATGGTGGTGTTGGAAAGGTTTGTATCTTATACACACATATGTATAGGTTTGTGTATACACAAATTATCATCCCTCTCCCTGATCCTCTCTCTCTCTCTCTCTCTCTCTGGCCGATTTCACCTCCCATCACTCTCACCTCTCTTTCTTCTTCCTCTTTCTAGACTGTTGACCGGTTGACGGTTTTCGACTGTGGCTGTGGGTTCGGTTTTGATTTTGGGATTTGATTTTGGATTTGATTTTAATTTTGGGTTTTGATTTTTGTTTATTTGTGACTCTAATGACCATTTCCACATACGACCCCAAGTGGGTTTAATTCTAATGACCATTGTGATGGGTGATCTACTCCTAATTCCATGAATTTTGAGGTTGCTTCTTGAGTGTCTATTCCATATTTGATAGACACTAGATGTGGAATAGAGCGTCTGGGTTAGTTGGGTGTCTATGTTAGAGCTTCTTGTATAGTTTTTAAGCTTTTGGGTTAGTTGATAAATGTTGATAAATGTGGAATAGAGCTTCTTGTTGTATAGTTGATAAATGTGGAATAGTTGAGTGTCTCTGTTTCAAGTTTTTCTCTGGGTTCTCATGGATTAGATAGATAATTTCTTTAATAGTAATTTTAGTTTCTGGGTTAGAAGAGGGTGAGATTGAAGATGAGGAAGGAAGAAGAGAAGGAAGGAAGGAAGGATTTTCAGAACGATTTTCAGAATTTGGTTTCGGTCTAACAGGAAGGAAGGAAGAAGAGAGAGAAGAGGAGAGAAAAGAAAAAGAAAAAAAAAAAGATACCAAAACGACGTCATTTTGGAACCTCGACTGTTTCAAGTTTTTCTCTGGGTTCTCATGGATTAGATAGATAATTTCTTTAATAGTAATTTTAGTTTCTGGGTTAGAAGAGGGTGAGATTGAAGATGAGGAAGGAAGAAGAGAAAGAAGGAAGGAAGGATTTTCAGAACGATTTGCAGAATTTGGTTTCGGTCTAACAGGAAGGAAGGAAGAAGAGAGAGAAGAGGAGAGAAAAAGAAAAAGAAAAAGAAAAAAAAAAAGATACCAAAACGACGTCATTTTGGTACCTCGAGCCATTCGAGCCAGCTTATTTTCGAGCTACGTAGCGGAATCGATCATTTTATAACCAATCTCATTTTACGGAAAGATTATAATATTGTTGAGTTAGTAAAAAGTAAGACTTGGTATTTAATGACATCACATAAGATAATGTCACAATTATACCCAATATGTTTTTTCCTAGTGTATCTTCAAATTTTTAAACTTGTATCAAATTTAAATTTGAGTAATATAGGGTTAAAAACTTCTCCATTCTTTGTGGGTGTTTGGTAAAACTAATTTGCAGCTTAAATCAATTATAGCTTAAAATAAGTCATATTGGAGTGTTTGGTAAAAATTATGAGGGATGGATTATAGCTTAACTTAAGTCATTTCACCCACAATTTGTTAAGTTGCCTGAGAGGTGCTTTTGAAAACTGATTATGCGCGTAGCCCATCCTTGAGGCGTGTAATGACTTAAATGCCCCTCAGATATTTCAACTATTACCAAAAACCCACTATATAAGCCTTGTGTTCTCAGCACTGTTCACTTGTGAGAGAGAGATAGAGGTGATTTCCGGCAAGGGCGATTTTCGGCGAGGGCAATTTCTGGCTCCTTAATACTGTTCTTAACTCTCTCTCTCTCTCACATACACACGATTTTCGGCAAGAGCTCTCCCTCTCTTTCTCTCTCCCTTTCTCTCCCTCTTTCTATCGTGATCTAAAACCAGAAATCAACACTGTTTGCTCTCTTTCAGGCAAGAGCTCCTCAACACTGTTTTCTCTCTCTCCACAGCCTTTCGCACCTGCATCAACAGCTCGCACATCAAACGCTGTTTCAGACCGGCGGCTAAGGTTTTGCAAACGAGAGCTTTGCGATTGGGATGAAGAGGAGAAAGATAAGAAGGGTTTTACAGACTGGCAGCTAGGGTTTTGCAACACCAGCTAGTCACCGGTCTGAAATGGAGGAAAAGAAAGGAGGTAGGCGGCGTACGAGTAGAAGAGAAGAAGGAGGCCAACGACGTACAGCTAGGGTTTTGTAATGAATTTTATCACTAAAAAAAATGATATAAATTGAAAAAAATAAAAGGATTTGTCAAATGAGAAAATGAATTACTAAAAATGAAAAAATGAAATATCACTAAAAAATATATTTCAATTAATATTGAAATAAATTGTGCAATTTATATCCATTAAATAATTACACAATTTATTTCACAATTATTGATATAAATAGCACAATTGCACAATTTAAATAAAGAAATAAATTGCACTATTTTATTTCAATTAAAAAAAATACAATTTACTTCCACTAATGAAAAGAAATACAATTGTTATATTATTAATTGTAATGAAAAAATAATAATAAATTAACAAAACAACAATTGTTATATTATTAATTTTAATGAAAAATTTTTAATAAAAATAGAATCACAAATTTTAAGCCATTAATTGACACTAATTAATTTATAATGAAGAAAATGAAAAAAAAAAAGAAAAAAAAAGTATGATGCTAATTAAGCCATTAATTGATACTAATTAATTTATAATGAAAAAATGAAATAATTTTATACTAATTGATACTATTAATGAAAATAATAATTTTTGTAATACTAATTATATGAACTTTTATTAATGAAATAACTTTTTTAAAATTAAAACTGGAAAAAATGATAAAATAATTATTTTTATATCATATAAAAGCAAAAAGGATAATTACACAGCAAAAAATTATTTTACAACTTATCAACTAAATACTACTCTACTACTTAAATCTATAATCTCACAGCTGCACCAAACAGGTTAACAGCTTATGTTCATAGTTATAAGTTATAATCTGTTAAGGTATAATTCATAATCACTTTTCCACAGCTCTACCAAATAGGGTTGTGACTTGAATTTAGGAAAAGACTATAGTACAAATCTCTTAAAAGGTATGTATCATATGTACTTTATAACTAAAGAAGAAAATGATATAATTTTATACTTTTTTTTAGTTATAACTAAAAAAAAATAAAAAATAAAAAGTAACCAAAGACCTTATAAGTTATAACTAAAATATTTGTCATAATTAAAGAAGAAAATTAATTATAATAAAATAATAAAATAACATAACTAACGATACATATGATATCCCCGTTCAAGTGGTGTGTATAGTAGAATTTCCCTTTTAACTTACTTTACCTAAATCAAAGGAGACTCAAATATTTATCCAAAATTCTCAAAAATATTTTGTAATTTTCAAATTTACAACCTTTCCATTACTGAAACTTCTGTCCAACAACATAAGGAGTCAGTTTAATGCAATTTATTATAAATTAAAAACTTATAATTAAAGAAATAAAAGTTAAAGTACTTATATCTTCCTTTCAATAATGAATTTATTTATATTATTTTTTAAAAATAAATTATAAATAAAAATTATATAAAAAAATCTGACACAAAATTTTAAAATAATTAAAAATTATAAATAACTCAAATAAATTGCACCATACTACTCCATACTATTGAACATAACTTTTACTCAAATTTCCAAATTCGTGCTTAAATTAAAAAATTTTAAGGTTGGGAGATAACTACCAAATAACTAGTCAAAATGAGGAAAAAATGAAGTGGGGTTGTGATAGCCGAACTAATATGAGCCGACGATGAGCTGCGCATGGTAGTATTTGGTGGTTGGGTCGTGCGCATGAATGAATGAATGAATGGAGTTGTCGTGATTGTGGAGCAATGGCCATGCGCCACTCCCAAAATTCTCCCTCATTCTCTCTCTCTCTCTCTCTCTCTCTACTCAATCGCTCTCAGGCCTCATCGTTTGAGAAGAACCACAACAATCTATTCTAATTCATCTAGGTTTGAAATGATTCTACCCTTTTTGATTTGGGGAATTTTTGGCAATTTGAATGATTTGGTGAAGAGTAGCTAGAATAACAATACTTGGAAGATTGAAGCAAAGGATTCGGAAAGATTGGATTAGTACCGAAGCAAGTAAGTATTGATTCTTTTCTTTTTTCTTCTCCCTTTTTTGATGTGCTTTTTTAACTAATATGAGCCGGCGATGAGCTGCGCATGGTAGTATTTGGTGGTTGGGTCGTGCGCATGAATGAATGAATGAATGGAGTTGTCGTGATTGTGGAGCAATGGCCATTCGCCACTCCCAAAATTCTCCCTCATTCTCTCTCTCTCTCTCTCTCTACTCAATCGCTCTTAGGCCTCATCGTTTGAGAAGAACCACAACAATCTATTCTAATTCATCTAGGTTTGAAATGATTCTACCCTTTTTGATTTGGGGAATTTTTGGCAATTTGAATGATTTGGTGAAGAGTAGCTAGAATAACAATACTTGGAAGATTGAAGCAAAGGATTCGGAAAGATTGGATTAGTACCGAAGCAAGTAAGTATTGATTCTTTTCTTTTTTCTTCTCCCTTTTTTGATTTGCTTTTTTAAGTAGTTGATATTTGTTTTAGTCCCAATCTTCAAATTTGTTGCTTTAAGTGAACTCTAGCTTCAAATTTGATACTAAATAGTGCTAGTAGAGAGCTAAAGATTGATTTTTTGGGTGATTGTAGAAATGGCAACACTTGTAGAGCCTCCAAATGGTGTGAAGCCTCTAGGGAAGCATTATTACTCAATGTGGCAAATATTGTTTGAGATTGATACTAAATATGTTCCAATCAAACCCATAGGCAGAGGAGCCTATGGTGTTGTGTGTTCTTCCATTAATAGGGAAACTAATGAGAAAGTTGCGATAAAAAAGATCAATAATGTGTTTGGGAACCGTATTGATGCGTTGAGAACTCTTAGAGAACTTAGGCTTTTGCGGCACATTCGACATGAGAATGTGATTGCTCTGAAGGATGTTATGATGCCTAGTCAGAGGATGAGTTTCGAGGACGTGTATTTGGTTTATGAACTAATGGATACGGATCTTCACCATATCATAAAGTCATCTCAACCGCTTTCCAATGATCATTGCAAATACTTCATCTTCCAGGTATTGTAATGTTCAAATTTAGTTTATCACATCTATCATGTGGATCTTAGCTCTCTTGCTATGTACATTACTGAATTACCTTATTTGATGAATACTGTTGAATTGATACATATGTATATTACTGTTTCGTTGCATCGTGAAAATTTACTGCATTCTATTGATTATAGCACTTAATTTATTGTTAAAATAGTATTAAATCTTTTTAACTCGAGCTTATTGAACAAAGGTCGTAATCAATATGAAGCATGCCTTTTATCATTAATAGTTGTCATGGTAACAAGCAACAAGGGAAAGATGCTGTTGATATTATTGTTTGTTATGGTAATTTTGGCCTTGCTAACATACGCTGATTATTAGCAGTAAATTGCCATGTTTAGATAGTGGCTAACCTTGGAAGACTGTATGATTTGGATGTAGATAGCTAGCATGCATGAATCCTTAATATAGCTTGAAGAATTTTCAAATCCACTTTCAAAGTATAATGTCTAATCAGGAATTGTAAAAGTAGTTACTGACTTATTACTCTGTCTTAGGGTTTCTTTGTATAACAAAAATGTAATAATGGTGTGAATAATTACTCCTATTAGTTTATCTAGTGACAGAGGTGGATCAACCATTAAACCATTTAGTCCATCGCCTAAGGCCTCCTAATTTTTTTTTTTTAAATTTATTATTATTAAAGGCCCCCAATTTTTGAAAGACCTAATCAACACTGTTGTGTGACTCCTCAGATGATGAACCCAAATAAATTTTTAATGATGAATGGACATAATTGGAATGCTTGTAGCAAAAGGGGATGTGATGCTTTTCATTATGACCATAGAGATAATCAACCCCTTTGTTATTTCAGATTCATGCATTATCTCAGTGACGGATTTTTCCTTTCAGCTACTACCACCATTCAATGATTTTTAGTCTGTTTGGATTTGCAGTGAGGAATCAAGATGTTTAAGAAATGCCTTTTGTTTGAAGTAAAATATGGAATTGATATTTCTGCAGTTTTTCTCAGTTTGTTATGATGAAGCAATGGCAGTTAGGGCACAGAGAGAATTGAAAAAACTTTTGTAGTCTCATCTTTGACAAAAAGATTGATGACAATTTCCTTTTATGCCTAACTGAAAGTTTTGCACTCAAGTTCTCTACCATGGCCTATAATGGCACTTTTCTTTGCTGAATTGGTTGTGAGTTTGCATGTTAAACCTTCTGAAATTCACTGCTTGGAAATTATTTCCATGGGTAAATAAACACAAAGGTTTAAGATTAGTGTGTGTATTAGGGGTGGGAAGGAACAGAGCACTACTGCCACTTTATTACAAGCAAAGAAAGTACTAATTGGATACAAAATGGAATCATTATGATCATTGAGACCTTACTAGAGCTAATGACAAATTAATAATCCCTTTGCTAAGGATCATATAAGGAGGCTGCAATTAGTTGAAAATTTTGCTACATTAGAACTCATGATAAATATTGATTATTCAACTGGTAATTTAGCCGAATGTTAATGAGTAATTCATTCATCCTGTAAACTCTAAACTGATTTGTCATTTGCAAGCTGCCAAATATTTGAATCTGAGACTTGGTAGTCTATGCATTAGTAATCATCGTATCATGACATAATTTACTAACACAGTGATGAAAGCTCACTGCTTTTATGTTTCTGATATCATGGTATTACCGTAATTTACTGATGTGCATTGCATAATCCAGTTGCTCCGTGGATTGAGGTATCTCCACTCAGCCAATATCCTTCATCGGGACTTGAAGCCCGGAAACCTCCTTGTCAATGCCAATTGTGAACTAAAGATATGCGACTTCGGGCTAGCACGAACTAGCAGAGACAACGGACAGTTCATGACTGAATATGTTGTCACTCGCTGGTACCGTGCACCAGAGCTCCTCCTTTGCTGTGACAATTACGGAACCTCCATTGATGTCTGGTCTATAGGATGCATCTTTGCTGAAATTCTTGGACGGAAACCAATCTTCCCTGGATCCGAGTGCCTCAACCAGCTAAAGCTAATTATCAACGTCCTTGGTAGCCAATGTGAAGCTGATCTTGAATTTATTGATGGTCAAAAGGCTAGGAGGTTTATCAAATCACTTCCGTATGCTAGAGGAGTCCAATTATCTTCTCTGTACCCTCATGCTGACCCTTTAGCTGTAGACTTGTTGCAGAGGATGCTCGTGTTTGATCCGTCTAAGAGAATCACAGTCACGGAGGCTCTTCATCACCCGTACATGTCTAGCCTGTACGATCCAAGCCGAAACCCTCCTGCGCAAGTTGAAATCAATCTTGACATTGATGAGAATATGGGAGAAGGTATGATTAGACAGCTGATGTTGAGAGAAATGCTTCATTATCATCCTGAAGCTGCTTGTGCCAATACATAACTCACGTCTAGAAAAAGTTTCATTTTTGTTTTCTGTTTGGCAGAAACAAAAACAAAAACCAAAAAGAAGAAACAAAGAAAGAAAGAAAAGTTGTTTTTGATTTTGATTTTGATTTGTGAACTGGTCTGGTTTTTGTCTAGAACCATGTATTAGATAAATATTGTTGTTGTTGTTACTCGTATTGTATGGAAATTTTGTTCGAAACTTTTATTGATTTATTAGTCTAAGCTTTTCTGGAGATGGTTTGTTGTTACTCGTGACTTGTAAACTTTTACTCATTCTATGGAAATTCTGATATTGCTTATTTATTATTGTTTCTTTGTCTGTTCCCTGTTTTATTTTCTAGAAAATAAAAAAACTTGTTTAGCAAATTGTTTTCCAAATACTTTGCAACACACACCAAGAAATTATTATCAAATTTTAAAAAATTGCTTTAGCACAAAAATGAAAAGATAAGTGCTTTTTGATAGCAGAAAACGAAAGTCAAAAAAATAAATAAATAAATAAATAAAATTTCCTTATCAACGGCAAACAAGTTTACATGGGCAAAAAAATATTTTTCTTCTAAAATATGAAAAAATATTCTTAAATGAGATTTTTATTGATAAATTTCATTTAGATGTGTTTTAACCTAAGAAGTCCATGAAGGAATTTTTTAACTCATTCAGTCCCATGTATGTATAATTTTATTCCATAAAGTCCTTTTTTCTTATTTACACTATTTTCTTGGACACTTATGCTCTTATATTTAATTTTGATACCCTTATAAATATTTTTTAAACAGTTAGCAATTTTATGATGTGAACATTCATATTTTAAAATTCACATTGGTAGGAATGTAAAATTGGCTCGTGGGCGACCCGAAATCCGCCCGCTAGCCGGGGCGGGCCCGGCCCGTTGACAATGTGAATATTCACATTGACATGTTAACATTCACATTGATAAGAGTATAAAATTGGCCCGCGGCCCATGGGCGGCCAAAAGCCCGCCTGCGACCCGGGGCGGGCCCGGCTCGGCCTGTTGACGATGTGAATATTCACATTGACATGTTAACATTCACATTGATAGGAGTGTAAAATTAGCCCGCGCCCCGTGACAGCCCGAAACCTGCCCATGGCCCAGCCTGTTAACATTCATATTGATAAGAGTATAAAATTAGCCAACGGCCTAGGGCGGGCCCGACCCGGCCCGTTGACAATGTGAATATTCACATTGGCATGTTAACATTCACATTGATAAGAGTGTAAAATTGGCCCACAGCCCGTGGACGGCCCGAAACCCGACCGCAACCCTACCCGTGACATTGTGAATATTCACATTGACATGTTAACATTAGCATTGATAGGAGTGTAAAATTTGCCCACTGCCCGAAACTTGCTCGCGGCCCGGGGTAGGCCCGGCCCGGCCCGTCCCGTTGACAATGTGAATATTCACATTGATATGTTAACATGCACATTGATAAGAATGTAGAATTGGCCCACGGCCTGTGGGCTGCCCGAAGCCTGCCCACGGCCCGGGGCAGGCTCGTTTGGGTCCGGGCCCAAGCCGATGGGTCGGGCCGATGGGCCTAGGCCTAGCCTCAGGCTTGGGCAGGCTTGGCCATTTTTTTTTAATTCTTTTTAATTTTTTTTATCAAAATTCTATTATTTTTCACAAAAAAAGACACTAGGCCTCGACATGGGCCGGGTTTCCGACTGAGCCTTGAATGGACCTTAACCAGGCCGATGGGCCGGGCCGGGCTTTAAAGTAATGGCCTAGGCCTTAGCCTAGGGTCTCAGACTAGGCTCGAGCCCGGGCCCAAACGAGTCTTTCCCGAGCCGCGGGCGGGCTTCGGGCAGCCTACATTCTTTTTGACTATTCTATTAAGTCCTATTTGAGGTAAGAAGATCAAAATGTCATTTTCATCTACTTATATTCTATTTTCACATTATTTTCTTATGTTTCAATAAGTCCTATAGGAGACATAATTATCAAAATACCCATAATGTGAATGTTCACATCGTCAATGTGAATGCTCATATCATCAATGCGTAGAGGCCCGGGCTGGCCCATATCGAGCCTCGTGGGTGTTCGAAAAAATCTGGGTCGGCCTGGCCCGGCCTACAGGCCAAAAAATTAGGCCTAGACCCTAGCCCTGGCACAAGGGTATTCGGGCTTTGGACGGGCCAATGGATCGAGCCTCGGGTCGAGCCGGGGCTTAGCCTCGAGCTTAGGTCGGGCTTGGGCAGGCCTGACTATTTTTTTTAATTCTTTTTAATTTTTTCTACCAAAATTTTATTATATTCCACAAAAAAAGACATTGCGCTCGAGCGGGCTGGGCCTCGGACCGAGCCTTGAATGGGCCTTAAGCGGACTGATGGGCCGAGCCAGGCTTTAAAGTGATGGCCTACGCCCTAGCCTAGGGTCTCGGACATGCTCGAGGCCAGATCCAAACGAGCCTGCCCCGGGCCGTGGGCGGGCTTCGGGCAGTCCACGAGCCGCGGACCAATTCTACATTCCTATCAATGTGCATATTAACATGTCAATGTGAATATTCACATTGTCAACGGACCAGGCCGGGCCTACCCCGGGCTGCGGGCAAGCTTCGGGCAGCGGACAAATTTTACACTCCTATCAATCTTAATATTAACATGTCAATGTGAATATTCACATTGTCACGGGTCGGGCCAAGCCCGCCTCGGGCTGCGGTCGGGCTTCGGGGCGCCCACGAGCTGCGGGCCAATTTTACACTCTTATCAATGTGAATGTTAACATGTCAATGTGAATATTCACATTGTCAACGGGCCGGGTCGGGCCTGCCCTGAGCCGCTGGCCAATTATTATACTATTATCAATGTGAATGTTAACATGTCAATGTGAAGATTCACATTGTCAATAGGCCGGGCCGGGCCCGCCCACGAACCGTAGGCGGGTTTTGAGCAGCCACAAGGCGCAAACTGATTTTACACTCCTATCAATGTGAATGTTAACATGTCAATGTGAATATTCACATTGTCAACAGGCCGGGCCGGGCCGAGCCCGCCCCGGGCCGCGGGCGGGCTTTTTGCCGCCCATGGCCCGTGGGCCAATTTTGTACTCTTATCAATGTGAATGTTAACATGTTAATGTGAATATTAACATTGTTAACGGGCCGGACCGGGCCCGCCCCAGGCGGCCCATGGGCCGCGCGGTAGGTTTCGCGGTGCCACAGGACGCGGGCCAATTTTACACTCCTATTAATGTGAATGTTAACATGTCAATGTGAATATTCACATTGTCAACGTGAATATTCACATTGTCAACGGGTCGGGCCCGCCCCGGTTCGATTCAAATTTTTCCGGGCACCACGAGGATCGACATGGGCCAGGCCCCTGCACATTGACGATATGAACATTCACATTGACGGTGTGAACATTCACATTAGGGGTATTTTGGTAATTATGTCACCCATAGGACTTATTAAAACATAAGAAAATAATGTGAACTAAATGGAACATAAGTAGATGAAAATGGTATTTTGGTCTTCTTATCTCAAATAGGACCTAATAGAATAGTAAAAAAGAATATGGGTTAGATTGAATAAACCTCTTAAAAAATGGATTTATCAAAAAAGCTCCATTTTTAAATTAAAGTCTAACCAACATAACCACATTATTAGTAACACCATCACCTACACTATTACCACCACCATCCACAACTAAAGAAACGGTCTTTTGAGTCGGTTTTTTGAGTCAGCAAATTTTACCATCGCAAAAGTTAGTCTTTTTGAGACGGCACAGAGTTACCGACGCAAATACCAACACTTTAGCATCGGCACCGTTGGCCGACACAAAAAATTAATATTTGATAGCATTACTTGAGTCGGTTGAATTTACCGACGCAAAAGATAGACCTTTTGCGTCGGCATAGCTCTTTTGCGTCGGCAAATTTGTGCTGACGCAAAAAATTAGACCTTTTTGTGTTGACAACTGATGCCATAGCCAAAAAAAAAAATTTATAGCCAAGATATATATATTTACTTGATTATATTTAATAAATATATTTATTTATACATATACTTTTATATTAATATTGAGTGTATATACTATAAATAATATATATCTCATTTAAAATTTGAAAGAGGTATAGTGGTGAATTAGATTTAGTGTGGTGACTTCGGGTCAAATCTTCCAAATGGAGTGGGTTCGAAACTTGGGAGCCTCAATGAGAAAATTATGATTAAATTTTTTAAAACATTTAACCACTTTTTGAGTCGGCAATCTACCGTCTCAAAAAATTAAAACTTTTTGCGTCGGCAGATTGCCTACTCAAAAACCTTTTGCGACCCCACCATTTTCGTCCCTTGAGTTGCCGTCGAAACGCCGTCGCAAAAATTTTTTGCATCGGCAAATATGCTATTTGTGACGGCACGTTGCCGACTCAAAAATCCTGTTTTCTAGTAGTGATCACATCACCACGGCCGCCACCATCACCCTCCCACGAACCCACCACCACCACCACTATTATCACCCCACCACCTTCACCTCCACCATGCCGCCACTACTAATACAATCATTAGTATATTTTTTTTATTTTATAAAAAACATGTTTTAAAACCAAAATTCGTAAAAAATTACTCAGTCAAATGTTTTGGAATGGTAAATCCCTGACTAAAAGCATGGTTGGCATATGCATCCATGCAAATGACAAAAGAATAACTGCACTATAAACTTTATTAATTATGTAATAACTAAAAAAAATAAAAAAGGAAAGATGTTAGCACTTGGAAGAGAAATAGGTGTCTTTAAACAGAGAGAACTATCATAATCTTAGCATAAAGCATCTAAAAAGAAGAATATGCTATGAAATTAGTGGAGTCTCACCATGGACGCCAAAAAGAAAAAGAAAGGAGAAGAAAAGAAAGGAATTGACACAACTTATATGGAAATGCCTTTGGGGTTAAGTTTTTCATATATGGTGTGGTCACCAGTCAACTGGTTTTTTCTGAATAAATATTTTGAAAGAGGAGCCAATTGGGCCTTTTAGATGTATCACGAGACTCGACTCAAGAATTAAACAGTTCTCTTATAAAAAATTTCGAGCAAATTATTCAAGAAAAAATCGTATTGATCAAGAAATCATAGTCACATCATCATTTCATTTTTATGCTTAAAGTAATTGATGGTCTTTTGTCAAAATAATATTTGTCATTTACTTTTTAATAACAAATGCAATTCGATCACATAATTATGATCAATTTAATTTTTTATTCAAATAATTTTTTAAAAAATTTACAAAATAAATAATTGAGGTGTCGTTTGGAATGTCAATTTTTTTGACTTTTTGGCTAAATTAGGTCTTGTTTGTCAACTATATATTTTAGTAAAAAAAAATCAAAAAGTCACTATAAATTGTTATATCAATCTCTTTATTTTTTACACATCTTTTCATAAAAAGTCAAAAAGTTATTAAAATAGCATGTTCCTAAATGAGGCCTTAGTCACAAAAAGATAAAATAGGCTAAAAATAAGACAAAATGTCACATCCAAATAATAATTATTTCACTTTTTCTTTTACAAAAATAAAAAAAAACTAACCCAAACGAACTTTTTAACCAAAACTAAAATAATCAAAAAGTTAAAAAGTCAACCAAACTTTCCAAACGAAGACTAAAATTATTAAGGGAAGCTTATTTTCAATCCATACTGTGGATTAAAGCTTGCCATTGGGCCCGTGGGATCCATCACTGAACTCATTTCGATAATCTGAATCATTTATGTGTAAAGTTCGTGGAGTACTTCATGCTTGCAAAAAAATCACGTAGATTGGATATCGATAACCCCTTGATCAAAACACATTTTTGTCGATAGTAAATATGATTTTAAAAATATATTGTTAACAAAAATATATTCTGATCAAGGGACTACTGATTTTCGATAAATGTAATTTTTTACAAATATGCAATACTCAATAAATTTTACACATTAAATAATTTAAATTATTAAAATGAAACCCGTAATAAATTACACAAACTTAACACGTATACGTGTGAATTAGGGAGAAAACTGTCTTAATTATTAAAATAAAATCCGTAACGGACCGCAAACAAACCCAAGCGCACAGTCAGTTGGCCACCATCTTCCAAAGATTTTCTAATAGACACCACACCACCAAACTCTTCCCTTTCTAATCTTTATAACCAGCACTCTTTTTTTTTTATTCTTCTTTTTTTCTATTATTATTTACTCGAATGGCATCAATCCCTCCAATCACCCTCAAACAACTTTTGCAAGTGACCCAAACATCTCACTTTTTTTTTTCTCTCCACTATTTTTAAATAATTACTTTAGTCAATTTTAATAAGCATTATTTTTCTATAAATGCCTCAACCAACACCTCTCCAAAACCCCCTTCCTCTCTGTTCTTCCCTCCCTCTAGAATTTTGCTCTCTCTCTCTCTCTCTCTCTCAATTACATATATAACATTCATGCTTAGAATTTGGATTATTGATGTTTGATCAGAGTATTCATGTCTCCTGTACTAAGTGAAATCCTCCTTTCTGGGTTCACCATAAACTCCACCCTTCGCCGCCGATCTCATTTAGTCCAATCCTTCTCTGTCTGCTTCCTCTACTGGTTCTACGTCTTCTCATGATCCAACCCAACCCAACCCACATATATATATATATATCTGAATAGTAGTATCTCATTAATATCGTTAATTTTTATTTAAATATATTATTATCTATATATCATGGCCTCTCCTAGTGCAATTTCTTCAGAGTCAACTCAGTTTCAGACCTCGGGTTCTGAGCAAGATCAACAAATCATGGACCAGAGGAAGCGAAAACGAATGGTTTCGAACCGCGAATCGGCGAGGCGATCGAGGATGAGGAAACAGAAGCACGTGAACGATCTCATGGCTGAACTGGGTCGACTCAGGGAAGAGAATAGTTGTGTTTTTACGAGGGTGACTGGGATGACTCAGCTGTGCATGAATTTTGAAGCCGAGAACTCGGTTCTAAGAGCTCAGGTGGCTGAGTTGACTCACAGGTTGGACTCTCTCAATGAGATCATGGAATGCTTGAGCACCAACAACAACAATGGAGTGTTTGAAGGGTCTTATGATCGGATGATCAACGATGGTGATGATTTCTTGAACCCGTGGAATTTGCTTTACGTGAATCAACCCATCATGGCTTCTGCAGATAACATGCTCATGTACTCATTCTGATTCTGATTCATAATCTGGATATGCATGAATTTTGAAGCTGAGAACTCGGTTCTAAGAGCTCAGGTGGCTGAGTTGACTCACAGGTTGGACTCTCTCAATGAGATCATGGAATGCTTGAGCTCCAACAACAACAATGGAGTGTTTGAAGGGTCTTATGATCGGATGATCAACGATGGTGATGATTTCTTGAACCCGTGGAATTTGCTTTACGTGAATCAACCCATCATGGCTTCTGCAGATAACATGCTCATGTACTCATTCTGATTCTGATTCATAATCTGGATATGTTATCTTGTCTTAGTTTTTGGATTAATGGTTTTTTTTTTTTTTTTTTTAATGGTTTGGTTTTTAATTAGTGGAATTAAATTAATAAGAGGTGTGTTCTTAATGGATGTAGTTATTAGCAGAGAGAGAATTGGTGATGGTTCTTGATCTATAAATGTATATATTGTCATGATTATTTATGTATGTGTTTATTTAAGCTTATTATATAAAATCAATATTTTAGTTGATACATGGTTGTCACACTTTCTAGTTTTCCTAAAATGTTAATTACGTGTTCTAGTTTGAGCTGAATTTTACTTTAATTTGTCTAGTTTTAAAATAAATAATTTTAATTTAATTTGTGTAGTTTTAAATTGAATAATTTAGTCCTTACACTTTAAGTATAGTTTCACTTTGATCCTTCTATCAAAATTAAAAATTAACGATTAACAATTTCGGTTATCAATTTTAAGGTATATACATGTAGATAAAACTAACAGAAATTTAACTGTAAGAACTAAATTGAAATTGGAATTAAAATATAGGGATCAAATTATTTAAATTGAAACAATAGGAACTAAAATAAAATAAAAAATCAAATTATAAAAGTGAGAAGTATAATTAATCTTTTTCTAAAATATCTCTGATAGTTGCTCAGATCAAAATTTATAATTTCTTGTCTCATATACTAATCACATCAAATTTTATAATTTCTTGGAGTTTTAATGGCATATATGTATATATATTCTATTATATAAAGTGTACATTTCATTTAGTGTGAAACTGTCGTGTATTTTCAAAAAATACCCTCCACATTAAATAATTGTCAAATCTAATAAACAATTTTTTCATTAGTCAAACCAACCAAAAAATTTTACTTAAATTTTAAATTTAGACTGATGAGTGATATATTTTGCCAACATGTTTTATAGTAGTAAAAATCATAGCAAGATCATGACAAAAATACCAAAACTTTTGCTTGACATACTCACATGATATGATCTCAAATGATTAAGCCAATACTATCAACGACACTGAATTATTATAAACTTGTCCCACTCAATCTCTATAAAGTTGCTCAAACTTAATCCATACAATTTAAAGTCCAAGTCCATGCATATCTAAAATAATTTTTCATATGTAATTGATCTCTTTATTTATTTGTTAATGACTAGAACTCCATTATTAAAGCAGCCTCTCTCTTTTTCTAAATTATCTTTTGATGAAGAAAAATGGTTATATATGCAAGATGAGTTCATTTTATTCCAAGTTCATACTATGATCAGTATTGCTGTTGTGGGCGAAGAATTCATACACGTATATTACCACCAAAGTGGACCTCCTAAACTATTATTTATTTATTTTGATTAAGTAAAGTATGATTGTTGAATGGGTGTTTGCTAGTGTCATCTTTTTTTTTTTCCAAAGATTATGAGAAGAAGATTCTCTTGGACATTGGGGGAAAAAAATACTTTTGACATTAAATTTGCATTATTGGCTTGAATAGAGCAAAATATAACACCTAAAATTTGTAAAAGAAACTATAACACTTTACTTTTTTTTTGGGGCATCATATTTTAGTAACTAAAGTTTCACAACTATATGAGTGTATCAACCATATTACAACTTGTATCTAAGAGTTTTCAGACTTGTTTCCACTATAAAAATAAAATCAAATAATTTATATCTACTAAGTAAAATATTGCGTTGAAAATTCGTACTTAACTAATTCAGTTAGGTTGGATTGTTCCCGGTTTACTTTTGAATTTGTCACATTGAGTTTGGATTTGTGGGCCCACTAAAGTTTCAATTTGATGATTTTTTTGGTTCATTGTTTTGGTTTTCGTAAAAAGGTTAAATTGTATCTGTTTTAATGGATGATTATCTATATTAAATTAATTATGATTGTTGGATTAATATAATTTTTTTAAATAATTAATTTACACAAAAGAGCTTAGGATTGGGATCCCCTTAATTCTGGGTTTGTCTTACAATATCTAAGCATACATACTAGCTAAACAAGTTGACTCTCACAATTGTTAATAATTTATTTTTCCTTTTTTATAATCGGGTGTCTGGGTCAATTTACGAGCACCTTAACTAATCTCAAGACTCACTCAAAGCGCCCACTCCACATAGATCGAGCAAAGAGTTGATAGTTGAACCTCAAACCTGGAAGGAGCACACCCCCAACTCCAAATTGCACCTACTAAGCCAACCCCCTTGGGGTATAATTTGTTCTTCTCAGTACATTGATTATTGTTAAACCAAAATTAACAAATGCAAAACTGTATTTGTATTGATCATGTTTAGTGCAACTTATTACAAATTAAAAACTGATAATCAAAAAGTAAAAACTAAAAATACACTCATTCCATAGTTTTTAGGTAATCATTTTTTCAAAAAACTTATTTAAGTTATTTTTGCCTAATAAATTGACACATCTTTAGAATTAAGTAAGTAATTTTCGATCTCAAAATAAACAATTAGTAAGCATAAAGTAAACAAATTGTGGGGATATATTTTCTAAGTACCAACACGTGGCTAAGGTGACGCCGACATGTCAGCCGAGGTGCCACCTGTTCTGGACATGACATTGAGGTTATCTCGGCGAGGCCGAGGTTATCTCCGAAGATATCGGAATCCGAGATAAGCGGATAAGGCACAAGAGTCCTAGAAAAGGGGAAGACTACAGTTGGGAAAGGATAAGACTCTGAGGGAGTTTATCCCAATCCTACTAGGAGTCCAAGATTGATGGTAATCCTAAGTCCATTAGAGCTAGGCTCCTGCTGGGACAAGGATTGAGTTAGCTATAAAAGAGAGGCACCCCCGTGGGTCTAAGGTACGCAATTTATATTCTGAATAGTGAGTTTAGCACTCTTAATTATCTTTGAGAGATATACTGACTTGATCGTCGGAGTGCCCCCGAGTGGACGAACCACTGCCGGAATCTACTCTTTCTGTTACAGGTTAGCCAAGTGTCATCTATTCTGCCAGTGTTCTCCGGCTGAATACTGAGTTAGGCAGTGTGATCGAAAAATCACTCACACAATTTGGCGCCGTCTGTGGAAACGAAAGGAGAATAGATGGCCAGTAACGGACATAAAGAAAAGATTGGGGACGACACTCCTGCTGGGAGTGGGAGACCTATTGACTTTGACATCACAGGAGACGAATGCAACGCAGAAACTCGTGACCAGAATCACAGAGTGAAAGACGTCGGACAGACTGGCGACGCACCAAAGAAACCATATCGAAGTGGATACTACAACGAGGACGACCTCCAGGTTTCGAAAGATAGGTGCCTATGGAGGGACAAAGAGATAAAAGAGATGGCAAACGAATTGGCAGACCTGCAGTCGATCGTCAATTTTATGATGCAAAATAACGTAATGCAGCCACCGTTCCCGCTGCAGGACACGCCGATTCTAGTGGCCAATGCCCAGAAGAAAGGGCAGAAAACAATCCCCGCAGCCCCTTAGCACAACGGGAGCGAAAGGTACTCTCACCGACCTTCTAAGGAGGTCGAACGAAGAGAATCAAGAAGAGAAAAATCACGGAGGACGCATCGCACAAAAGAGGCAGACCCCAAAGGACATCGGCATATTCAGGGGCAGGCGCTGTGCTTCGACACAACTCATGGAGAAGGGTCGAAAAGGGCTCACCACGAGACCGAGAGTAGTATACCGAAAAGACTGAAGTCGAAAGATAGCCGAGCTCTTGGGCGGAGCAAAGAAGACTTAAGAGATTACCTCAAGAGGAAGTAACAGAATGCCGACGCCGAGGTAACCTCCCCAGAAAAGCTGAGCACACCATTCTCGGTGGAATTAGACAGGTTTGAGGCGTCGAAGAGATTCAGTATGCCAAGGTTTCAAATATACGATGGTAAGTTAGACCCCAACTTCCACGTTGGACTATATTTGAACTTAATGGCATTGTATAATGGGAACGAGCCGCTGCTCTGCAAAGTGTTCCCCTCATCCTTCGGGGAGATTACATCAGATTGGTTCCACAAACTACCAATGGGAAGCGTGAATACTTGGAAAGGCCTGGCCGAGATGTTTGTGGCCAGGTTTGTGACAAACAAGCTGCAGCCATTAAGGGTGGACGCATTGATGGCTCTGAAGATCAGCAAGGATGAAGGCCTTAGGGCTTATGCAAAAAGATACTATGAGGTGTTCAATCGAATACCCGAATGTAATCAAGAGGTGGCGGTCGTATCTTTCAAGAACGGCCTGAAAGACAACTGTCCACTACGAAAGTCTTTGGCAAAGACATTGCCAAAAAGTATGGAAGAGCTCATGGCGAGAATCGAGAAGTATGCTAGAGCCGAAGAAGATACGTCGGGAGCTAAGGAGATAAAACAAGAGAAAGGAAACGGCTCGCCGAAGTGAGGCCGAGGTAACAATGGATCGAGCAAACAAGAAGCAGAACTGAGGGCCACATAGGCAGTAACAACTGTGTTCCGAATCTCAATTTACAAAGTCCTGGATCAAATTCGGAACCAGCCCTATTTCAGAACGCCAGAGAGGACTCCAGGAGAGTTCATGAGAAGAAACATTGGCAGGCATTGTGCCTACCACAATGAAGAAGGGCATACAACTCAGGGTTGTAGAGCCCTGAAAACACATTTGGAAGACCTGGTGAGATAAGGACATCTGAGAGACCTTGTCGATGAGACCAGGACAAGGGAAGAACGGGCAAGGTTGCCTCAAGCACCAGTAGCCCCACCTCCCCCCGCACAGCAGCCGCAGGCAG